TGGTTTGTTCAGCCAAATCAAAGGGCAGTCAAACACATTGTTGTCGATCTGGAGTCACACATTGGCCAAACCAAGCATAGAAGGCAGATATTTGTCCTAAAGGACATGTATGAAACAGATAGGTTTTACAACGATCAACAATGCATTATGGTGATGATTAACTTTTAAGTTCAGATTTATGAATTGAATGTAAATCTCACCAACTTGTGATTGTCATCTATGTGTGTGTGTGTGTATTGGATGAGAATATAGAAGGAACGCTTAGTAAGTTTGTGGATGACACCAAAATTGGTGGCATTGTAGACAGTGAAAAAGGTTTTCCAAGATTACGAAGGGATCTTGATCGAATGGGTCAATGGACTGAAAAATGGCAGATGAAGTTCAAACTGGATAAATGTGAGGTATTGCATTTTGGTACAACAAACAAGGGTGTAGGGCCTTGGGAAGTGCTGTAGAACAGTGGGGCTTAGGGGTGCAGGTACAAAATTCTTTAAAGTTTGCATCACATATAGGCAGGGTGGTTAAAAAGATGCTTGGCATGCTTGCCTTCATTTCTCAATCCTTTGAGTATAGGAGTTGGGAGAGCATGTTGAGGTTGTACAGGACATTGGTGAGGCCTCTTCTGGAATTCTATTTCCAGTTCTGGTCGCCCAGTTGTAGGAAGGATATTATCAAGCTAGAGAGGATTCAGAAGACATTTACCAGGACGTTGCCAGGTATGGAAGGTTTGAGTTGTAAGGAAAGGCTGTATAGGCTGGAACTTTTTTCGCTGAGTGTAGGATATTGAGAGGTGACCCGATAGAAGTTTATAAAATAAAAAGAGGTATAGATAGAGTTGATGGTAGTTGTCTTTTCCCTAAAATGGGGATTTTCAAAACTAGGGTGCACATTTTTAAGGCGAGAGAAGAGAGATTTAAAAAAAAAGACGTGGGGACAAATGTTTTATGCAGAAGATGGTTTGCATGTGGAATGAACTTCCTGAGGAAGTGGTGGATGCAGGTACCAGTACAATGTTTAAAAGACATTTGGATGGATATATGAATAGGAAAAGTTTGGAGGGATATGGGCCAGGCAGATGGGACTATTTTAGTTTGGGATTATGTTTGGCATTGACTGGTTGGACTGAAGAGTCTGTTTCCATGACTGTCTGAATTTTTTTGTATGTTGTGATTTCAATGCATTTGTTTGTTTTGCTTTCACACACAAAAGGACTAAATGCAGTGAATTACAGTTTTAAGTGCACTTGCTATGTAGTCCCATGCTTGGTTTACCATCACATTTAAACAATAGACAGTGCCACATCCAATCTGAACAACAGTGTCAGCCTTGACCACGTAATGTAGCTCTGCTATGAGCTTGAAACCACAACTTGGATACAAAGCTGCTAACCTACTAACTGAGCCAAGCTGAAGCCTTTTCATAAGCCTAAATCAGGTTGCTGCAACCAATACTCATCCCAGTTACATGGCTTCTTTGTATTTTGGCTGGTGGTACTTAGCATGTTTTCTTTCCAAAGCTGCTGAATCATCTTGGGTGCAGTACCACATATGCAATCAGAGATAGCAGGAACTGCAGATGCTGGAGAATCTGAGATAACAAGCTGTAGAGCTGAAGAAGGGTCTAGGCCCGAAACATCAGCCTTCCTGCTCCTCTGATGCTGCTTGGCCTGCTGTGTTCATCCAGCTCTACACATATGCAATCATATGGTTCTTGGGTAGTACAGAATTTGAGCATTGTTGAAAAAAGACACATTATGTAACTTTTTATCTTGCATACATCATGCATGCTGGAAGCTACACATGTCAGTACACGGGGCATTCAGACAAAGAGAATGTATGCATATTTTGCACCTCTTTCAATTTACAGTACGTGACAGCTATTCTCTAGTTCGCTCCTCAAGACAGTCACCAGTCAGTGTCACTTACATGGATTAACGGTTAAACAAATTCAGGGCGGGGAAAATCAATACAGTTTCAAAATCAAATAACATGATAGAATGAAGAAAGTCAGGAATCTTACTTGAGGTATGGCAAGTAATGGCAAAATTAGAAGTGTATTAAATAAATAGGAAGAGAAATAATCAATGGTACTGAGAGGCAGGTTGCAGTGTATGGCCAAATAAGAGTTCTATGTATGATTGCACTGAGAGTAAAGAATGAAGTAAATGAGTCACAGGCACAAATTTAAATTAGACATTGTCCTACAGTAACCATTACTGATACATGACTGCAGGATAGTCTGGATTGGGAACTAAATAGACCAGGTTGTAGGTTTATAAGATGGACAGGGAAAATTACAGAGGTGGAGGAGTAGACTTATTGATGAAAAACATAATTGCCTCAATGGTGAGGAAGGGAAATGAGGAGAAAGCATTCAGAGGGGCTAGTTGAGGAGCTGTAAAGGATCTAAAACTGTAATATACCTCCTCTCACCCACCTTCCTACAAGAATGCCATCCCCTATTCCCAATTACTTCGCCTCCGCCGTATCTGCTCCCGAGCTGAGGCATTCCACTCCCAGACATCCCAGATGTCCTCGTTTTTCAAGGACCGCAATTTCCCCTCCACAGTGGTCGAAAACGCCCTCAACCGCATCTATCGTGTTTCCCACAACTCATCCCTCACACCCCTTCCCTGCAATAACAACAAAGACAGAATCCCCCTCGTCCTCACGTATCACCCCACCAACCTCCGGATTCAATGCATCATCCTCTACCTCCTGCAATCTGACCCCACTACCAAGGACATTTTTCCCTCCCCACCCTTATCTGCCTTCCGGAGGGACCGTTTTCTCTGTGACTCCCTCGTCTGCTCCACACTCCTTACTAGCCCCACCACCCCTGGCACTTTTCCCTGCAACCGCAGGAAGTGCTACACCTGCCCCTACACCTCCCCCCTCGCCCTCATCCCTGGCTCCAAGAAAACCTTCCACGTTAAACAGATGTTCACCTGCACATCTGCTAATGTGGTATATTGTATCTGCTTTTCCTGATGTGGCCTCCTCTACATCGGGGAAACCAAGCGGAGGCTTGGAGACCGCTTTGTGGGACACCTACACTCGGTTCGTGACAAATGGCTGCACCTCCCAGTCGCGAACCACTTCAACTACCCCTCCCACTCCTTGGACGACATGTCCATCCTAGGCCTCCAGTGCCACAACGATGCAGGAACAGCACCTCATTTCGCTTGGGAACCCTGCAGCCCACTGGTCACAATGTGAACTTCACAAGCTTCAAAATCTCCTCGTCCCAAGACCAGCCCAGTCCCTGCCTCCTTGACCTGTCCGTCTTCTCTCCCACCTATCTGCTCCTCCCACCTCACTGACCAATCCCAACCCCCACCCCCACTTCCTACTGACTAGCCTCATCCCCACCTCCTTGACCTGTCTGTCTTCCCTCAACTGACCAACCCCCATCCCAACTCCATACCTACACTCACCTTTACTGGCTCTATCCCCGCCTCCTTGACCTGTCCGTCTTCTCTCCAGCTCCTTTATCCACCTTCCATCATTGCCTCCCCCTACCCTCTATTTATTTCAGAGTCCCCCTTCCCTCCCCCATTTCGGAAGAAGGGTCCAGACCCGAAATGTCAGCTTTCCTGCTCCTCTGATGCTGCCTGGCCTGCTGTGTTCATCCAGCTCGACACTGTGCTGTCTCTGACTCCAGCATCAGCAGTTCCTACTATCTCTAAAACTGTAATAGTTTGTTGCATATGGACCTCCTGATAGCAGCTTTGATGTGCTAGATTATATAAATGCAGAAATTAGGTAATGATGTATCAAGGCCAGAGTAGTATTAATGGGGTATTTTTACTTTAACATAGATTAAAAGAGGCTGACAAGCACCTGTCAAAAAAATTGTGAATTTCTGGAGTGTGGGGTAGTTTCCTACAGCAATATGTCCAGGATGCAACAAAGGACAAACAGTATTGGATTTAGTCATGAGGCAGATTAATTAGAAATCTAATTATGTGTGAACATCTATAAAATAGAGATCATAACACCACTTTTAATCCTTCATCTTTTTATTAATCAAGAGCATACTTATCTGTGTCTTAAAGACACCCAATGACTTGGCTTTTGCAGCCTTTTATGACAATGAGTTGTACAGATTCACCACCCTCTGGCTGAAGAAATTCCTCCTCATCTCAGTTCTAGAGGGTCGCCCCTTCGCTCTGATGTTGTGCTCTCGGGTCCTAGTCTCTCCTACTAGGGGAAACATCTTCTCCACGTCTACTGTATCCAGGCATCTCAGTATTTTGTAATTTTCATTGAGATCCCCCTCATCTTTCTAAACTCCATTGAGTACAGACCCAGGGTTCTCAACTGTTCCTCTTATGACAAGCCCTTCAATCCTGGGATCATTCTTGTGAACCTCCTCTGGATCCCCTCCAAGGCCAGCACATTGATCCTTAGGTGTGGGACCCAAAACTGCTCACAGTATTCCAAATGCGATCTGATCAGAGCCCTATTCCGCCTCAGCAGAACTTTTCTGCTCTTGTATTCTAGCCCTCTTAAAGTAAGTGCTAACTGCCAACTGAAACTGCATGTTAACCTTAAAAGATTCCTGAGCCAGGACTCCCAAGTCCCTTTGTGCTTCAGATTGCTGAAGTCTTTCCCCATTTAGAAAGTAGTCGACACATCCTATTCTTCCCAACAAAAGTACATAACTTCATATTTCTGACAGTGTGTTCCATTTACCAATTCTTTACCCACTCTCCTAGCCTGTCAAAGTCCTTCTGCAACCTCCCGCTTCTTCAATGCTACCTATCCCTCCACCTATCTTTATCATCTGCAAACTTAGCAACAGTGCCCTCAGTTCTTTCATCCAGATCATTCATGTAGTTCCCTACGAAAGCCATAGATATCATTGAACTGAACAACTAGCATTGTTGAATTGCTGCTAATGACAAAATCTGTTGAGATTGATATTAACTGTGCAGTGTACTGATGTAATGTTTTTCTTGGGTTATCACTAATGTCTTTCCCCATATGTATCTCAAGGTAACTGCTGTTCCACGGGACATGTACTGCTGTGATCGGAGTGCAGAGAACGAGCGTCGACTGATGAAGGAAGGTGGTCACCTTACTGCCAAGCAGTGCCTCTTGTATGGAACCCCAGAGCTAGCTCTTCATTGGAGAAATCGGCTGTCCTTCTTCTTCCTTGAAAATCCTGGGGGTTTGTTAGCTGTTCAGTCTAGACATGGCTGGTCCTTCATTAGGATTCCTGGTAAATTGATGAGAATTTCACTTTTCTGATTCTATTTTGTTACATAATTATGTCAGAGATGTGTACATGTATGTTAGAAGTTCAATCTTCAACTGTAGCATTCTGGACCCTTGGTCGATCTTATATTTGTGTCAAGCATTGTTGTAGCTGCTGTGTTTCAGGAAGTTTGCTTGAAGTTGACTTGTAGCTTGTTTGTTGAAATGAAGCAATCTGTAGATCAGTTCCTGCTCCTTCAGCACTCGTGTTGTGTTCATTCCTATTGACTTCAATTGCCCTATTTATTTTAGAGAGATTAAGCAATATTCAGCACATTGTGCAAGTGTAAATTGGTTGGCCCATTAGTGTTGTGTATTGACTATCAATTGTCCTGGGTTTTTCTGGCCTACGTACACTTTACAGAATCGCAGACACAACAGCAAGTACCTGCAAAGTAAGCCATTTATATTTTCTCAACAGTACTTTGATTTGGAAACTCCTGTTGGAGGAGATTTGGCTTCTCGTGATACTTGTATGTGATATTAAGTGTTCTAGAACTGGAGATGTGCTTCATTTGATTTCATGTGATTGAGCCTCACGGGAAAGAATCGCATTTGTTGCTCACTCCTAACTGCCGTTGAAAGCAGCTCACCATCATGTTCTCTTCAACTGCTATGGCCTGCCTGATGTAGGTATACCCACTATGCTGTTTGCAAAGGACCCAACAGCATTTGAAGAAACAGATGGGGTGCCACAGTGGCTCAGTGGTTTGCACTGCTGCCTCACAGCACCAGGGGCTTGGGTTCGATTTCTGCTCAGGCAACTGTCTGTGTGGAGTTTGCACATTCTCCCTATGTCTACATTGGTTTCCTTCGAGTGCTCTGGTTTCCTCCCACAGTCCAAAGATGTGCAGGCTAGGTGCATTGGCCATGCTAAGTTGCCCATAGTGTTCTGGGATGCATAGATTAGGTGGGTTTGGCGAATGGGTCTGGATGGGATTCTCCGAGGGTTGGTGTGGACTTGTTGGGCCGAAGAGCCTATTTCCACACTAGGGATTGTATGAATATAGTTCCAAATCAGTATGATGTCTGGCCTTAAAGGGAACTTGTAAATGGTGGTGTTTCCATGCCTCTGAATGGTACGGGCCGCTGGTTTGGTAGGTGCTGTTAAAGGATACTTTGATTTATTGCAGTCTGTCTTGTAACTGGGGCACACTGCTACCACTGTGCTTGATGGTGGAGGGAGTGAATATGCTCAAGCTGGTTTCTTTGTCCTGGAACTCCTTGAGTGTTACTAGAGTTGTCAAAGGATACATTGGGATATTAGGTCAGTTGCAGATATGAGCAGAGAAATGGCAGATGGAGTTTAATCTGGGTTCATGTGAGGTACTGCACTTTGTGAGATTGCATGTTAAGGAAAAGTATACAGTTAATGGCAAGACGCTGAAGAGCATTGATGTGCAGAAGGATCTTGGGGTTCAAGTCCATAGCTCCCTGAAAGTAGCCATGCAAATAGATAGGGTTGTAAAGAAGGCGTATGGCATGTTTGTCTTTATTGGGGAATTAAATACAAGGGTCAGGATATCATGTTGCAGCTTTATAAGACTTTGGTTACGTCACACTCAGCAGTGCATTCAATTCTGTTCACCACATTACAGGAAATGTCTAGACTTTGGAGGGGGTGCAGAAAAGGTTTACCAGCATGCTACCTGGATTAGAGATCATGAGCTCTAAGGAGGCGCTAAAGCGGCAGAAGCTGAGGAGAGACTTGATAGAAGTCTATAAAATTATGAGATGCATAGTGTTGATGGAAAAAAATTCTGACCTGGAGTTGAAATGCCTAATACAAGGGGACATTTAACGTTAGAGGGGAAAAGTGCAAAGGAGAAGTGAGAGGTAAGTTTGTTTTTACACAGTTGTAGGAATGTGGAATGTGGTGGGTGGTGGAGGCAGATACAATAGGGATATTTAGGGGACTTTTAGATGAGTATATAAATATGCAAGGAATGGCAGGGGGTGGGATATGGACCAATGACAGGCAGAGGGATTAATTTCATTTGGCATCATGTTCGGCACAACATCCCTGGACCGAATGGCCCACTCCTGTCCTGTACAGTACTGTGTTCTATGTTCTAATTCCAGTAGATTTGTCAAACATGATCTCCCTTTTACAAATCTATGCTGACTCTATCTGATTCTGCCACTGTGTTTGCAAGCACTCTGTTATTAAATCTTTTAATTTGGACTCTAGCATTCCTCCCCACCGACCAACTACCAATGCTAGGTTGACTGGTTTATAATTCCTGGATTTCTCTCTACCTCCCTTTTAAAGTAGAGGGGCTATATTAGCTACTTTCTGGTCTTTAATAGCTATTCCAACGTCTGCAGGATCTTGGAAGATGACCACGAATGCATCCACTATTTCTAGGGTTACTGTTTTGAGTATTCTGGGATGTAGATTATCAGGTCTTGAGGATTCATCGGCTTTCAATCCCATCAATTTCCTTCACACCATTTTCCTATGAATACTGATTTCCTTCAGTTCCTCCCTCTCACTACACCAAAATATATTCCCCAACATTTTTGGTGTGTTATTTGACCACCTTTGTGCAGAAAGTTTGTATTTAGTTGGTCAGCCATTTCTTTGTTCCCCATTATAAATTCTTCTGTTTCTGAACATAAGGGACCCACATTTGTGTTCAGTCTTTTTCTCTTCACATACCTATAGACACTTTTATCGTCACCTCTCTTTTCTACGCAAGCTTACTCTTGTACGCTATTTTCACTTTCTTAATCAATCCCTGCTGCCATTCCTCGGTTCTGTTTCTTTTCTGGTCAATTTGTATGCCTCTTCCTCAGATCTAATACTATCTCTTAATTTCCCTTGTAAGCCATGCTTTGGCTACCTTTCCCATTTTACTTTTGTTTCAGACAAGACTGAATATTTAAAAACCGAAAGATCTGCGGATGCTGTAAATCAGGAACAAAAGCCAAGTTGCCGGAAAAGCTCAACAGGTCTGGCAGCATCTGTGAAGGAAAAAAAGAGTTAACGTTTCAGGTCCGGCGACCATCCCTCAGAAGATTGGTGAAGACTGAACAATTATTGTAGTTCACTCACTGCCTGTGAATGTTTGCCATTGCCTTTCCACCGTGTTCCCTTTAAGTAACATCTCCCAATCTATTATAGCCAACTTGTGCCCCATATCATCATAGTTTCTTCTATTTAGATTCAGGTCCCTAGTCTCAGAATCAACCACACCTCTCTCCAACTTGATGAAGAATTCTATATATTATGGTCGCTCATGCACAACTAGATTGCCACTATTCTTTCTCATTATGCCAGTATTCCTTTTCTTGTTAAACATTGCCCAGTGCAATATGGTCTGTTTTCCAATTAATTCTTCAACATATCAGCCCAGGAAGAGATATACATACGAGAAATTACTCCTCTGTGATATTGTTATTAATTCAAGTTGTGCAATCTATATGCAAATTGGTTATCTATATTTACACTTGTTCTGTAATTGCATGCATCTCAAATTTCCTGTTTAATACCATTCCCAATATCACTCCTACAGTTTATATACAATTCCCATTAATATTTTTCATCTCTGTCTTTCAGCTCCACCCATACAGATTCCCCTATCGCATTAATTGCAATATTGCTGCCCCCTCCTTTTCTGAAGGAGGATTACTGGACCAACAATGTTAACTCTGCTTTCTCTTCACAAATGCTGTCAGACCTACTGAGTTGCTCCAGTTATGTGTTTGTCTGCTGTTTCTCTAAAATCTTGTATCCAGATACATTTACAGCACGACTGGGTACTTGGTTCATCCAGGTGTCTGTTATCACTTTATTATTTATTACTGTAGTGTTACCTTCTCACCCAATCTTTGCGCACCTTCTATTTCCTGTATAATGGTATTTCTAGTTCCTTCACCAAATTAATTTAAAAATTCTCCAACACCATCAAGCTGCCTTGTTGAGGACAGTGGTATTGCCTGTATCCTATATTGATCACAAATGCAGCTGCCTGCACACTCATCCCAGTGAAGTGTAGCCATGTTTGATGCCCATGCTTGTTTGTAAATGCTAGGTTTTCCATATTCACATATGCAATGCTGAATTATTTACTACGAAATATGACCAAAGCTGCAGTAGTTTGCAGGGTGATGTAATCAATAAAATGCCTGGTAGAAGCCATGGTCATTGGCTTGCTCTGAGAATGTTTTGCAGTTTTCAGCAAAGGCTTACAAATACAGATTTTGCTGCAATTTTTGCCTTTGAATACTGCAGACGGCACCTTAATGTGTATCATTGACAGCTGATTCACCCAGTTATACCCAGTTCAACAGCAGTTACTTAATGCTTTGTTGCTAAGATCTAAAGCATTAAATGATGGAGCACAAGGTGTATGTTTTGTTACTGGACTTGATCCTTTCGATCTTGTAAATTTGTCAAGTGCATTTTTAAATCATTGGCAGAAACCAAAACTTTGAGTCAACTCCTTGATGTTGTGTTTTGCCAACAATAATCTATAAGATCATAAGACATAGGAGCAAAAGTAGTCATTCAACCCATGCTCTGGCAAGTAATGAGATCATCGTTGATCTGATAATCCTCATCTCTACTAAACTGTTTTCTCCCCATAACTCTTTATTCCCCTACTAGTCAGATATCCATCTTAGCCTTGAACATAATGACCCACCTCTTTGCAGTAAAGAATTCCATAGATTCACTACTCTGAAGAAGAAATTTCCTCCTCATCTCTATCTTGAGTAGGTGACCCCTTACCCTAAAATTACGCCCCTGTTCCTAGACTGTCCTACAAGAGAAAACAACCTCTCTATGATTCTGTCAAACATAGAAAATTCTTAGGGGACCTGACAGGGTAGATGTAGAGAGGTTGTTTTGTATGTTTGATGAAATCATACAGTTCAGAAGAGGCCTTTCAGTCTGTCAAGTCTGTAGCACCAAAAGTATGCTATATCTACACTAATACCACTTTCCAACACTTGGCCCATAACTTTGAAAGTTATGAATGTTTGCACCT